AAGTCCTGAGGTTTGAAATGGGATACTGATCCACCTCCAACTAGGGGTTTATAGTACATTTATAGTCCTCACAAATTACACGTCCAGTATTTTTGGAATACATACAACTGGTGCCGCCTGTTGTTGACTTCTGGGGACAAAATATCTTCCTTGTTTTTGCAGTTCTTCTATCTGCCTTTCTAATGGTTTCATGAAGTGTGAGGCCTATGACAAGCCTTTAGATACTGAGGGTATGTCTGCATTGCAATGTAAGCCCAGGGTTTGAACTCAGGCTCAACTCTTCTGTCTATACACAAATCATGCTAACCCAGGGCTTGGTCCCAGGACACTATGAGGACCTGAGTCAAGCCGGACTCAGGGTTCAAGCCTTATTGCTTTGCTGTATAGATGAAGACCTCCTGGACTCATGCTCATGGAGTCTGCTTAAAGTATCCCTGAGTCCCACTGGCTGACTTCCTTTGTCCTCTGGACAGTCAAGTTTTCCCAAACTCCACCATGAACAAAAGGCTAGAGTGGCCACATTTTAGGATGGCACTAGGAAGCCTGGGATATGGGTAATTGAACTCAGGCCCACATAATGTAGTGTGAATGCTGGAGATCCAGGTTGGGAACTAGGGTTCAACAATTCCTAACCTGGGATTACAAATAAGTGTAGGTGCTCAAATCCTAGGTTAACAAACCCAGGGTCTGCTAACTTGAGTTCTACTAACTCAGGGTTTACCCTGCAGTGTAGACAGACCCTGAGACCACATGTAGCTTTATCATCACAACTTTTCCTAGCCTCACAAGTATATTAAATACAAATTTGTATTTTTCCATAATTTCCCCCACTGGATCCAACAAGTTGTGCATGGAACTGCAGGCAAGTTAAAATGTTTACAGCCAATTTTTGCCAGTCACCAAAGACCCATTTTCTTCATTGACTAGTAACTGTAATAGTAAGCAGTCGCCTTTGTGATGTGCACTAATGAGATGCAGGCACCCCAGTTCTTTTAATTCCCCTGATTACATCTTTTCAAAACTTCATTGGTCTTTACATTGAGGTATTTTTGCCTGTACAGTTTTTCAGAAATCACAGGTAACATATCTTCTCTATCAGTTTCCTTTCAAGTCCTATATGTTCTGAACTACATGCAAATCTGAGAACTGGTGTAATTGCCTCTGCATGGGGAGGCACAATTTCTGAGGACTCATCTGCGCATGAAACTTCAAAGCCATCTATGAGACTGGTTCAAGTAACTTGGGGGAGCACCTCAGCCTGTGTGACTGCAACTTCCACTGGAACAATGGAAACTTGTGCCTTTAGGAGTCACCTTTGTTGGAAACTGGGCTAAGGATCTGGAACTTGCTCCTGGAGGAGATCAGCAGGGCCACAAATCTCAACCCCTTCAGAGCAAAATACAAATCCCACCTTTAAACTTGCCTTCCCCTGCTAACACCAGGCACTCAGACACAAGATCCAAAGCCTGCTGACTTGAGAGGTGAGAGAGCGAGACAGAGCTAAACACTTTATAACGTTGTGAGGCATTTAGGGCCTGATCTAAAGGCTATTGAATGGATACTACAGTGATGGGCACCAGATAAGAACCTAGACAGTGAGATAGACATACAATATTGTAAAAGGTGTTAGGCAGCTATGTTTAATTAATCTATGGCAATTTGTTCCTGCTGCGCTTAACACATGGGGTGAAATCTAGGCCTGATTAACATCAATGGGAGTTTTGCCATTGATTTCACTAAGACTAGGATTTCACCCCTTGGAAATGAGGCAGAAAAGTCAGTGGGAACTGTAGTAGCCCAGCACTTCTGAAAATCAGGTTCAAGATTTGTAGGGCTTGTCTACACAGTGGGGCAATGCGCACTGCGGGGTGTGTGATTTCTAAAGGGCACTAATGTGATGTGCATTATTTGGTCCGTGTAGGCCCTGCTGGGGCATACTGAAGGTTCTCTCGTGTGCTTTAACACAGTACTGTTTCCAGCTTTACATTAAAGTGCACTAGGGAACCTTTAGTTTGCACCAGTGGGGTCTACTCAGACCAATTAAGATGCAACACATTAGTCTGCTTTAGAAATCGCACCCCAGAGCATGCATTGCCGCACTATGTAGTAGAGACGCCCTTAATCTCCACGTTAGGGCCCTGATTCTCCAGTTTTATGCCAGTGTTTAGCTCCATTCATTTCAACAGAATTTCACCAGTGTAAAGCTGGTGTAATGGAGTGAAGTATCAGACCCTAGTTCTTTATAGCAAAAGAAAAAAGGTGGTTTATTGTATTTCCTAACTAGGTGATAAAGGAAAAAGAACTGAAAGAACAAATCAGTTAAGAATTAGTCAGTAATGTATAGTCAGCCAGGGGTAGGCTGGACGGCTTTTCTGGCATTAATATCAAGGATTCCAACAAACCAACCAGACCAGAGGTAAAAATTTTCAAAAGTGCCTAAGTGGCTTGGGAACTGACCTCCCATTTTCAAAACTAACATAGGCACTTAGGAGCCTAAGTCTCACTGAAAGTGAGTCCCTAAGTCGCTTTTGAAAATGGGACGTAGGCTCCTCCTAAAGCACTTGAGGTTTTACAAAATGTTATCTGAGATCCATTGGTCCTTGACATCTCTAATTTGTCAAAAAGTTTCTATAGTTGATTTTATTTTCCGTTATATGAAATTGAGATAAAAACAAAATAGGGATGAGTTAGAAGTGATTTGATGGAAAGGCTAATAATAATCCACTGTGAGCCTTACACAGAAAAAAATGGCCGGGGTTATGAAAAGAGGCAGTTTATTCAGCCAAAGCAAACAGCCTTATAGGGGTTTTTGTATGCCACAGGGATATTTTTCCTGCCAAAGCTGCAGACAAGTCTGGCCTACCACTCTGCAGGAAAGATATTTTAAACTAATAAGTCTACACCTTCCTGGATTTCCCCCCCCTTCTTGTAAATCCACCAACAATAGTGTTGTTTTGATCAAATTTTCCACTAGGCAGCTTCATGGCTTCTAGCACAAAAGAGGAGGTTTGAGTATATGGACGTGCCAAGTAGGAAGCTCATAAAAAAATGTTAGAAAAAATATAAATTATTTTTTAAACTTTCTCACTGATTTCAAAGAGTATTGAAGCTCTTCTGGCTGGGTCTGTGTCTTTGTATACATAATAATAAATGATCAGGAAGGTCATACTTAAACTCATCATTCTTATTAATTTGTATTACAATACCACTTAGAGATCCCAGATGAGATCGGAACCCCATTACACTAGGAACTATATACACACAGTGAGAGATAGTTCCTGGCCTGAAGAGTTTACAATTTAAATAGGCAAGGCAGGAAAAGGCTGGGAGAAAGGAAGGATGATTATTCCAATTTATAGATGGGGAACTGGGGCACAGACCCTGATCCAACACTAATTGAGGTCAATAGGAAGTTTCCCATTGATTTCAATGGAACTGATCAAGACCGGAAGTCGGTAGCAGGGCCAGAAACTGAACTCAGATTTCCTGAGTCCTAGCCCAGTGCCTTGTAATGGTTGTGGAAAGCTCTGATTGTTAAGTGCACATTGTGTACAAGAAATATCTTGTCACTCAATAATTTTGCTTTGGTCATTGAAAGAATTTGATGAGGACTGGGATCAGCACAGTCAATATTCTTTGTTGGATCTTTCTTTTCTCTGTCAAAGTCAAAGATTGAGCATTGTGGCCAGTTATCGAATCATGGCTATTTCTTAAACATTTCACTGTTTCTGCTGTAGCGCAAGGCTATCTCTATCTATCTATCTATCTATCTATCTATCCCTCATTTCTGACGCATTGACCACCATGACACCTAAGGCTGGGATTTTATAAGGTTCTTAAGGAGTTAGATGCCCAACTCTCATTGCTGTTTCAAGGGCACATTTTACAAGAAGTATTGCTCACAAAGTAATTAATGGATTAACTTGTCAATCCTTGGAAAATTCATTCTGTACTCAAACAGTAACTGGGGTATGTTTGAGGAGGACACATTGCACTATTCATCCATAACAAAGAATTTTTGATCCTCCTATTTTAATTGCAAAATTCAACTCAGCTTTAACTTTAGAGATGTTAAGATATCCTCATAATGAAAGAACAGGAGCGGATACAGTCTAACACGGCTGCTACTCTGAAACCTCATAATGAACATCTCTTTAATATATTTACAATGCATGACTCCCAGGAGAGTGTGAGGATGATGTGGGTGAAATGCTGAGTAAATTTCTGTATATTTCAGAAATATAATCATTGGCTAAGATTTTCCAAGTTTCCTAGGAGATTTAAACACCCAATTCCCATCGAAATTAACAGGAGTTTTGCATCTAAAACCAGTAGCTGCCTTTGAATATCTCCGCCATTCACGTTAAACGCCTCTAGAAATGTAATAGAGATGGAGGATGTTTTTTTAGTAAAGTGCCACTTCCATCTATTTTGGTTCTCATTCCATGCCCGTCACCATGGTATCTGAGAACCTAGGGGAGTCAGTAAATGATATGTTTCTTTCTTACATTTCTGGAAGACACAACTCAACTTTACTACTGTATGGAAGGTGGATGTGGGGGGAACAACGTAAAGCTTGCTATGGTCAAACAAAACAAACACAGCCATGAGAACAGAAAAGCTGTAAGGAATCAGTTCACCCACATGCTAAGATTAGTTGAGTGTGAATTTTTATTTTCTCTTGATATCCTAGAATTGTGCATTAATCTGAATTAAAATCTATGGTGCTGGTTTGTGTCTGGGAGAGGAAGGCATATGGGTGTGTATTTGTGAGTTTTGGCATCATGGATATACTTTTTCCTGAGGAATTTTTCACTTTCTTATTAGGAGATATCCTCTTAGCTACGTCACTGGAATTTCTAGGAAGTAGGAGCTGATAGAATAAAAAGGCTGCAAGCTGGAGGCAAAGGGTACATACTGACTGGCAACTCTCCACTGAGTCTTAGCATAAGAACCACTGCAGTGACTTAGCAAAGGAAAACAGTCGCTGAAGACACATCTTTACCAGGCTGCTACGTAGCACCAGGCATCACAGCCACAATCTGTAAGTATAATAGCCTTTCAAGTAGTTTTGTTGTATTTCATATCCATGCTTGGCAGAATTCAATTTTTTTTTGTATAATTTTGATGAATAAAAAGTTTAGTTTATTTTTAAGCATTTTAAAGATGTTTTTATTGATTTAAATTTTCACACTTGTGCAAAATTATATATCTTTTAAGCATTTCCCCCCCAATTTTTATCAATTTACATTTTCACAGTTGTGGGAAATTATGGGGCGTCGGAAAGTGTGTATGTGTGTCTGTGTGAGTCAGACAATAATTATTTCATGACAATAGACATTGAGATTCAAAAAGTTAAAGCTTTATAACAGTTAAAACACAAACTGTCAATATCTTGTGTCACAATTTACAAAATAAAGATCCTTAAATCAAACTCTAAGAAGTTCTCAAGCAGCATTTTTCTTACTTGAAATCAATGTTTATCGACTTTTACTGATAAAAATTGAATCCTTTCAAAGGTATTCATATCTTAGCTGAGTTCATTGTCAGTGATCTCAGCTCAGAGCTATCAGATTCAGTCAGATCTGAAGTAACACTACACAAATGTCCTGTGCAAGTTACTTTAATTTCCAGTCCGCCTCACCATTAAGATCTGCTTTAGACAATACACTAGCCCAGTGGAGAGTCTTGCTGTTTAACCCCGTAAAGTGATTTGTGAAATAGCGTATAGGAAAGATGCTATAGACAATAACGTTGTATGATATTATTGTATTGCAATAAGTTAATATCAGTGCTTAAACCATGTGCTGTAATCCTGCATGTTTGTTTTTTGCAGCCATCTCTTCAAAGAGCAAAGTGAAGAGAAGTTCTCCAGAAACATGATTGGCCTGTGGTTCCTCTCTGTTCTCACTTACGGTAAGTGAGTGTGTATCTGAGTGGAAAACAAGTTAGACTGGAAGTAACAGCACTGCTGTTTTCTCGCAGCTTCCTTCTGAAGTAAATGGGGGTGCAGTAGCTGGGTTAAGATTTAGGGCAGATTTGCACAAAAAGCATTAGATGGCATGGCATGCTTCCTCTCTCAACTGCCAAAGCCAAAAGTGGCCCCTATGTGGGGCTGTGCAGCATACCCACCCAGTGTGGGCAATGACTGGACACATCCTTGACAAGCTGGAGACCCTACATTTGATATTGACATGTCTGATTGGGAGACTATTGTAACTTTGTATAAAGCAAATACACAGGCTCAAATATCTGCACATATGCAATATCCACTGAGATCTAGATATATTCTTCTTTAGAAAAAAGCAATCAGGTCTAGGTTGCTGTAGAAGTTATATCCAAAACGTAGCATGCAGGTGGGATCCCTAATTCAACAGCGTTATTTCTGTTAGCTCCTGGAAGAGCATTTTGACACTGACATCTTGTATGTTTGGGCTAAATTTCTGTGCTGTTTTCATTCCTCTCTCTCTCTCTCTCTCTCCCTTTTTAAATCTCTCTGTGCTATATACTGCAGTTCTAGCTGCTGAAGCTCTTTTTCTGATCAGTTCTCTCAAAGAGATAGACACTAATTCTTCCTGGAAATGCTCTTCGTAAAGCAGAATGATATAAAGAGATAAACATGGCCTTTGATAACAGAACAGGAAGCACAGGTAAAAGGATACCAACTTCTCTGCATCTTCTCTTTCTAGGACTTATGGTGCTTGAGGAGGGCAATTGCTGGACATACCACTATTCAGAAAAAAGTATGACCTATAAGCTTGCGGAGGAATGGTGTAGGAAACACTATACAAATATGGTTGCCATTCAGAATAAGGAGGAAATTGCCCATCTGAATGCATCTTTACCCTTCAATCCAAGTTATTACTGGATTGGAATCAGAAAGATTGATAATGAGTGGACCTGGGTTGGAACAAGAAAACGGCTGACTGAAGAGGCTAAAAACTGGGCTCAGGGTGAACCAAACAACAGAAAGAATGACGAGGACTGTGTTGAAATCTACATCAAAAGAGACAAGGATGCAGGCAAATGGAATGATGAAAGATGCAGCAAACAGAAGGTTGCCTTGTGCTACGCAGGTACAGAATGCAATCAATCCCAAAGAGCCTATATGATAATAAGAAAATGGACGTTTATTAGCTAACCTATATATATACATTAAACATTGTTACTATATTAGGCTTAACTTTAAGCATGTGAGTGGTCCACTGAGGGCTACTTGCTTGCTTAAAACGAATAATGCAGAACTTAGAGCCTTTATTAAATCATGTAAAAGTCTATTGTTCTTTTTGTGATTTAACTTTTGATATAAGTTGAGTCTGTTTCCAGCCACAGGAATACTTTTGTGAGTGGCTAGGTTCAACTGTCTTGATTTCTGAAATGCTGCGATGCAAAACCAATGTAATTTCAAATGACATAACGTTCACCCTCTGTTTACTTTTGCAAAGTATTTATTATCCAGAGTGTGTTTTCTCCTGGATAAGTAAAGCACTGCAATGGCTCTAAACAGATTAACTAGTAAAGGGGATAGATTGTTTTATAACCATGCTGAATTTCCTTCTAGCTTCCTGTAACCAGTCTTCCTGCAGTGGCCATGGTGAATGCCTGGAGACCATTAACAATCATACCTGCCTCTGTGATGCTGGATTCTATGGGCCTGAATGCCAGCATGGTAAGATTATTTCTTAATGCCTTCCAAACAGGGAGATGTGCATGTCAGCTAGTTTTCAGTAGGTCTAGCTAGTTTAATTATTTCATTTG